AGACAATGTAACAGATTCAACTTTATTTTCATTTTCACAAATTGGAGGAAGACCAACAAAGTATGCCCTTTCAACATTACTGTTATTGTCACAGAATATCGGATTCAACCTATGTTCTTGAGAATTGCTGTATTTACAATAGAAATCAATCCGTTTAATGTTTAAATTCTTTTTGTGCTTTACCAATATCTTGGACAATTTTTTGTCAATTCTTTTAAAAGACTCAGTTAACAGTTAAAGTGACAGTTGAGAACATGGTGACTTTCGATCAATATCTCAATAAGAAATTCTCGCAAAATGGCTAAATGGCATCACAAACAGACTTTTTCCGGGAGGTACTTAAATTTTTTCTCACAATATCATATTTCTCATAAGAAAGAAGTTATTTTTAAAATGGTGGATAGAGCTATAAGACCGTCTCATCCACGTTTTCATCAAGAAGATTTTAATCACATTATCAACATTTTATTGAATAATAATTACCCTCTTCCATTCATTTTTTATATTATTGAAGAAAGATTAAAATTCTACTCATTTGGGAACATAAAAAGACAAGGTGTAGAGGGTGCCCACACGGAACATAATATCCAATGGACGTCCATATAATCTCCATAACTCCATACTACATCGATCTCTACGATGGATATTGGATTCTATTAGAAATCAATATTATTTCCATGATAAATGACGATATAAATCCATCATAAATGTCTATTAGACATCTGTTATCGATGTTTGATAGAAGCAGGGTTGGGAAGTAACGCGTTACTTGTAACGCCGTTACCGTTACAATTACTTTTTTTCGGTAACTGTAACGGTAACGGCGTTACAAATTTTTTTTGTAACGAAAAAAGTAACTTTGTTACATTTTTCGGTAACGAGTAACGAATTTAACAGTTATTTTTACCGTTACATTTTTCAAATTTACTCTATATATCTACGAATTTATAGAAAAACTAACAATAAGAAAACTTTTTAATTTATATTTATAACATCTAAAAATTTTTAAGAAAGCTGGTTTACAACTTATTAAAAATTTTTCTTATTTAAAATATCTTATTATTAAAATTATTACTTTTATTATATATTATTAAAATTATTACACTTTATATTAATAGCGATATCATTATTAAAATTATATCATTTTTCTTACTTTAATAAAAAATAATGTTCAAAAATTTTTAATGTTTACTGTAAATTTGTAGTGTTTAATTTAATTTTATATTAGAAAAATTGTGCATATAATTTGTATTATACATAAAAAAAGTAACGGAAATTGTAACAATTCGTTACTTTTTGAGTAACGGCAATGGTAACGAGTTCCTTTTTAAAATTAGTAACGAGTAACGATAACGAGTTAATTTTTAGAAAAAAGAACGGTAACGGTAACGAGTTATTTTTATAAAGTAACTTTCCCAACCTTGGATAGAAGTATCAGTATCCATAGTAACGAATATTGTTAGGGCATCGTCGATGTCAAACGTTTCGGCTGATCATTCAGCCATCTTTGGTGCTAACGTTACAAATCTGTTTAGTAGAAAGATTGTGGTTTCAATTCGTCATTAATAAAATTATTTGGAAGTAAAGTCACAAATGTGATTGCGAGATAGTCTTGTCTATGTAGGTGTTAACAGAATGTCACCATGTTCTCGACTGTCTCACAGTTCTTGACTGTCTCACAGTCGTGACATTCTGTTAACACTTATATAAACAAGACTATCTCGCAATCATATTTGTGACTTTACTTCCAAATAATTTTATTAATGACGAATTGAAACTACAATCCATCAAAGCTCTATGAAATATTTATGGAACATCTATGATTGCTCCATATGATATCTATGAATATATTTAATGGATGTCGAATGGAGGTATGTAATGCGGAACTGTGGATGTCTAGTAGGCATCTATAGGAGATTATGGGTGTTTACGATAATTCAAGTTCGAGTTAGTTTCACTAGGACCGAAAAATGAGATATACATAACCATCTAGAACCTTTATGATTTATGACACTCGACGCTGTCTTGTATTGCTTGAGTTAAATTCATTGGCCGGTATTCATAGTCCGTTCTTATATTCAAGATCGTCTTAAGCACGAACTTATATTCGCTCTCTTCGTCAGACACAATCTATGTTTGACGAAGAGAGCGAATATAAGTCCGTGCTTAAGACGATTTTGAATATAAGAAGGGACTATGAATACCGCCCATTGAATTTGTTGAGTTTAATAAATATAATTATATACATATATATATAATTATATCTATTAAAGAGGTATACCAACATACATACCAACATTATTTGTTTCTTTCATAGACTGATTTGCAGTTGACATTTTTTTATTACAATAAAATTTGCTCTTTAAACTCAACAAATTCAATGAATTTAACTCAAGCAATACAAGACAGCGTCGAGTTGTCATAAATCATAAAAGTTCTAGATGGTTATGTCTATCTCATTTTTCGGCCCTCGTGAAACAAACTCGAACTTAAATTATCGTAAACACCCAAGGACAATCTAGGAAAAATGTTACACAATGGTGTAGTGTATAAAATTGCTTGTGTAGATTGCGAGGCAACATACATAGGCCAGACGAAGAGAAGGTTGGAGACTAGAATCAAAGAGCATAAAAACGACATTAAAAAAAGCACTTCTCCTTCAGTTATCTCACAATATCGATTAGAATTAAATCATCAAATGAATTGGGAAGGAGTTAGCATCGTTGATAATGAAAAATCATATTTCAGAAGACTAACTTCTGAAATGATAAACATAAAAAGACAGTCACACGGATTAAATAAACAAAGTGACACTGATTTGCTCTCTGATTCGTATGTTCCGATTCTCAACTTATTGCCTACTTTATAGAGGTAGAAAAATAACATTTTTCTCCTTGCCGGCTGTACATTTGATTACTCTTTCTTCTTGTGTTTTCCCCTCCCTTATATCCTTCTTGCCTAACGCCTTCTGGATTTCACGTTTTAGAATTAACATTAACTCACAGTTGAGAATATGGTGACTTTCGATCAACACCTCAGGATGCCGTCACATGCAACGTAACTTGCGTAAGCGTAACTTGCGCCGACTAATCACATCGTCTCATTTGAATTTTAGCTTCCACCTAGTTATTTTTATGTTTTTTACGCTATTGTTGTTACGATGAATTAAAGAAAGAAGCGCAACTAAAGTGTGTGGTGGTGTAGGTGATGCAGCGTGAAAAGAGTACATTTTGTAATAATCTTTGTCTTTCTGTGAATATAGGACGTACCCACATTTTGCGACGAGTTTTTTTCTCTTTATATATTATCAGTTTCCATATTGCAAACAGTTTTAATATGTGATGTTTTCTAATTTTCCGCTGTTGAAATGTTTGCTTCTTCCACCTTTGCCATTGTTTCCATATAATAAATAATACTAAATCAGGATTCATTATACACTTTTCTGAGCTCATAATCATCTACTAATATATAAAAAATTAATATTTGAATATTAACTTAATGAATTATTAATTATAACGTAATTAGCATGAATATAAATTAGTACCTTCTGGAATGATGAGTCTATCAATATCACCGATAATCTTTTTACATAACCTCAAGAACATACAAGGTGTACTAAATCAGATTTACTTTATAAATATTACATATATTCCGCTTCACATATACTCGTATACAGAATATCGGTTCCCCATGACGCGTACTTTTCCAGATGCGTAAGTTACGAAAACCAATCATAAATTTCTTTAGTATTTCTGTTAAAGTGTACAACAGAAACTCTAATCAGCAATTGGTTGTATTAGTTACGCATTTTTAACATTTCAGCAAAGTACGCCCTATGTGAATGCCGACTTTCAGAATGTGTAATTTTTGATAAAGTTACTAGAATACTCGGGTTACGCTTACGCAAGTTACGCCGCATGTGACGGCACCCTCAATAAGAAATTCTCGCGATCACATACGTGATCACTTCATAAGAGTTTTTATTAATAATGACGAATTGAACTTACGGTCTTCTAAGAAACAGGTATGCGACAAAAAAATAAATTTATTTAGTTATTTATCTCAGTAGGTAAAAATTTTTATTATATTGACCTCAATTATATAAAAAAAATTTCTAAGATATATAATTATTCAGTTTTGTAAAGATAGCACTGAAAATGGCTGAATGATCAGCTGAAACATATGCTGCTTAATTAAAACATTGGTTTCAATAAAAGATATCAAGAATTACAATCTTCTTTGGCTTGAGATCCTCCTGCTATTCCATCGTTTTTGTATTAAAATATCTTGTACAAAAGAAGTAAATGGGAAAGAAGATTACTTATATTAATCATTATGCGTCTTCTTCGACTATATTGTAAATTTTGAAACATTTAAAACCTGGCCATACACTTTTACATACTATTAATATTTTTAATTTCTCGTCTTTATTCAAATAAATATTAACTTTACTTACAAAACAAGAACAAACACAAGCAAATTGCAATTTCAAATGCCACCACTAGAAAGTAATCGACATGAATTAAATTCGTAGTATTTTTTCCCCTTTAGTACGTTCGATGTACATGCAATCGTACTAAAGCTGGTGCGTTCTAAACTTAATACGCGTACCAACGTTTTGACGATGTAAACTAGGTAGACGATGTAAACTAGGTAGACGATGTAAACCTATATTCCATTTTTTATTAACAGAGACAATGCAATGACATCATTAATCACTTCTAAATTAATCTAAAATTGTCTAATTAAAAGTATTAATAGAAAAATGTTTCCAATAAACATACTTTTTTTGAAATCTAATATAATATTTGTCGATAAAATTTTTTTGCATATTAATGTCAAGTCGCAACTTTTTATCTTGTTTTTAATTATGCAAAACTTGAATTTTTTAATTATATTTTTTAAAAATACATTTTAATATTTACATATTTTTAGAATATAGAATATTCACGATTTTACATAAGATTACATTGAAAAACACATCTTATTTTTTCTTACAGATGTAAACCACTATTATCTTCATATAATTCTATGTATATTACATATTACAACTGGATATATGCAAAATACAAAACAAGTAAAATATATGAAACAGAAGCAGGACCAAAACATTGTAGAGTATATCAAGTAGGAGGGAAAGTGTATTTAAATCATGAAAGAAGTAATCAATGCCTACAAATGACTAAAAATACGGTTTGGTTTTGTGATGATAGTAATTTTCTTGCTTATAATCGCGCAAAGAACGGTACCATTAAAAAGCATCAAAAGATTGTGAAAGATAATTACACTTTTATTAAATCTATTGCTCATTGCGATGATTATATTATAAGTGGTGACGAGTAAGTGTTTATTTATTAACTGTATTTTATGTTTATTTCTTTTCTTTAATTTTAACAAAAATTCTTGCAGAGATGGTATTATTAAACGCTGGAAAATTAAGGATGAAAATGATTTTGAATGTTTAAAAATACATAACGTGGATGAACCAATTAAACTCATAGACGCAACATCGCAACACATTATAACTAGTTCTGAGAATATTATAAGGGTAAGATTCAAGAAAAATTGCAATAATGCTATGTTAATGTAGTATGTAAAAAGTTTGTTTTTGCGTAGATAATGAAATATGACGATAAAAATGGTTGTACGGAAGAAAAGAAAATATTTTTTGGATTCGACATGAAACGACCTAAATACGATCCTTCTCAACCATATATTTCTGTGAAATCAATCTCATTTGATCCTATAGGAACAAAATTTGCTGCTGGTTCTTATTGTCCCATTAACTATTGTCAATTTTTATCATCGCTTCTAATTTACGATATTGAAAAAAGGTAAGTTATACTTCAATTAATTGATCAGTTTCTACAAATGTTGGATTAAACATTGACTATGTTTATACAGACACTATTATATGATTCGATTTAATAACATTTCTAATTATAACTTACAAGGACGGTTTGATAACCCAAAAATTCAAAAAAATCAGAAACTGCAGAAATATAATATATGAACCTAATCAAAAAGTGATTTCTTGTTTTGGCAAAAAATAATTCTAGAGGCGGAAATATCTTTCGAAAAATCGGATTTTCTTTGAAGAGTGTTTCCACTTTTAGAATAATTTTTTAGTTAAAACAAAAAATAGCTTTTTGAGTAGGTTTATATGTATTATATTTCAGCAAAGTTTCAGATTTTTAAAAATTTTTGGGTTATCGAACCTTTCTTGTTAATGAGTATTGAACTATACAGCGTGTGTCAAAAGTTCCGAGACGGCTGGATAATTTGAAAAATACGCATCACAGAGGAAAATGACCTCGACAAAAGTTGTAGGATTTTTCTCGGGCAATCCGATGGTGACCTTATAGCGTTTTCGATTATACAGGATTTGAACGACCCAGGGTTGATCAATCACTATTTTACTATAAATGCAAGTCTTTCATTGGTGGAGAGGTTGCAATGACGTCATTAACCAACCCTCGTATAACGTTCAAATCCTG